GAGAGAGAGAGAGAGAGAGAGAGAGAGAGAGAGAGAGAGAGAGAGAGAGAGAGAGAGGGTCTTGTGGCTTTCCCTTAGACACAGCAGACTCTGATCAAGAATGTATACAAGCTATCTGTCCAGTCTGGCGCAGCCAAAATGAGGGTGCTTGTGTGGTGTGGGGGTAGAGGGAGGGAGGAAGGGAGCGGGGGCCAGAGAGAGAGAGAGGGAGAGAGAGAGATTCAAGGAGAGAAAGGAAGAAGAAGACAGAGGAAGAGGAAGAGAAAAAATAAGAAGTTGCACACGTCACTTTCACAAAACTCGGCTTCTTCGCAGAAAAAATACTCGTGAAGAACAGAACAGGATGCCTCGACGCGTTTCGCTGCCGGCGTCCGACGGCAAGCTCATCAGGAGGCTCATTACTACAAACCAGAAGCCCACGACCGTATGACGAGGTGCAACTTCCCTCGCTTAAATACCTACTACGTGAGTTCCTGCGCACAGTTTTTTTACCTGGAGACCTATCTATCCTACTCCCTTTCTCCCTTTGTCAAGCTGCTGCTCCGCTGCTATTCTTCCTTCCTTCTCCCCTCCCTTTGCTTCCCCTCGGCGTACTCGTGGGTCCATGGAGTCTCTTCCTATTGGTGGTTCTCTGTGCCCGCTCCTCTTCCCGTACTCCCTCCTCCGTTCAACTCTCCTTCGTCGTGTTCTCTCCCATCGTCGTATTTCTCGGCCTAGATACTTCCTTCGATACCGCCCGTTAAGGCGGGAGCGATGGTGCTTCCATCTCTCGCAGCGACTGGGCGGTTCGGCGTTGATACTTCCACTTTGCTTTAAACAAACACCCAGATCCGGCACCGATGACGGGCTATCACTTACCCACCCGCCTTTTTGAGCTCCTTCGTTTATAATCGGAACAGAGAGCTTACGAAGCTCGGGACTCTTCAGACTTCAGCGGAGAAACAGTCTTTCTCGTAATTCATTTCTCAAAATGTCAAAAAATATAGCTCGTCAGTCCTACAACTCTCTAAAAAGGAAATTGGAAAAAAAAAAAAAAAAAAAAAAAAAAAAAGTTTGATAATTTGATTACATAGTTTCAGTTCCTATAATATTCCAAAACCGTTTGATTGCATGGCTCGTTCGTCCTCTAATATTCCAAAAAAACAAAAAGAAAAAGGAAAAAAAGGGAAGGACTCGGAATGCAGAGGGCCCACACATGCTGAGCCTGTATGCGACAAAAAACCGTGATCAGATTTGTAAATACTTTACAACTTCGGGGTACATCCTGGAGAGGAACCCCCCCCAGGGACCGCCGGAGACCTTGGCAAGCCTGCCAAGGCTGCGAGAGAGACCTCCGGCGGGTAGCACCAGAGGCGTGCCTCCATCATGATAGCAGAGATCGTGGCCAGCGTGGCTTCACCAGAAGTGGATGATCGCTGAGCTCTCATCATACTGGAGAACAGCAATGCTTTTGTTGCTGATTTCCTGGAAAATGACTCCAAATCCTGCATCCTCCCTTAAGAACCTCTGATTCCTTGTTCTCGGGAAAATGTGTATAATGACTCCTGGGCCGCTTTCAACCATCATCTGGGTTCCCAAGAACTCAATCGAATTCGTCCCGGAGTCTTTCCTTACCGAGGTCAGACTCGAATCATAGCAACCTTCGCAATCTTCGAAGATCTGCAGCGCTCGATGCTCGGCTCCTTCATGGCCCCTCCTGAGCCCGACGATAACTGCAACATCATCAATCATTCGCATCCCCCTTACTAACCGTATTTCTCTCCCTAATGTACTAAAAAACTGCGCCTCGGCTCGCGCACAGACTAAGCATGCCAGCGCTGGACTGGATCAAGTTCAAACACCACCGCTCTTCTTATCATCTGGAAAGTCAGCAAGTTAAAACCTTCACTCTTCCGATGATTTTGTGCCATCATACAACTCTTCCCTCTCTGGCTGACCCTTACCCCCACCAGACCTCTTCGTTGGTGGAACTAGGTGATCCATGTGACCGTCTCAATCACACTGCAGTGGGTAAGTCTTGCGAACATATCCTTCACGTCATAACTCCTAGTGAGCGCGCCATCACATTCTCTCGTCAGATCTGTTTGGATACATTCACACCGCTCCTTGAGACCGTCCGTAGCTCGTAGATCAAAATGCCTGGAGTCATTCATACTAAACAGCATAAATCTTATCGCCCTGCCCACCCTTGATCCGGCCAATCTGGCTGGATCATCGGTGGCTGGAGAAATCGGTCGCCATCTTTCAACATCCTTCTCTTTTGGAAGAACGTATGCACGGCCGATCTTCCCACCCTTGCCCCACATAGCGACAGATTTGAGCCCCGCTTGCACATAACTGTCCTTCATTCTCATCATAAGTTCTTCTTCCTTCTCTTCAAGGACAAAGAAACTATGATTCCAATTGAATGCCATCTTGCATGCGTGCAAATACAGAAATGGACAGATGATCAGCGTTGCACCGCGGTTTCTATCTATCGGCACTGCGACCAGGTTCTGAATGATTGTTGACCACTTCCGCACTTCCTTACTCGTCATCCCTCGTACCTCCCTCCTCCCCTCTTTCTTTAAGCACGCCTCCACCAATTTTCCATCAATCTTCACCCATCTCTTCCCACTCCATGGCTTCACCGCTTCCTTGATACAGCTCTGAAGCTTCTCAGCGGAAATACTATCACTCCAGGTAACGTTCCTTGAATTCTTCACGAAGGTCGGGACTTCCTGAAGATCGTCTAATCTTACCTTAACGTGCCCTCGTGACCTGGGCCACCGGTAATCTGCGCAAGTGCATTGCACCGCCTCAGCGTTGGAGCATGTTCGTAGGCTGTGGATGATCTGCCCAACCGTTAGACTTCTCATATACAGCACTCGCACTCTTTGGACCAGTTACGCCCGTAGATGCGGTTCATGCACCATCTCCTCCATAACCCTTGCAGTCGTGCTTCTCAGATTCGCTGTATCTACAACCGTGGTGAAAGGTATCTTCAGCAGAGGTCTCTTTCTGATGTTGGTGCCATAAACTGTTCTCACGGCCGCGATTTTCATCTTCAACTTCTCTCTCTCTCTCTCTCTCTCTCCTGTCTCTTATACACATCTAGATGTGTATAAGAGACAGGTCTTATACCTTGTATTGAAAGGTCGGTTCTTGTTCTGGTCTGCACCTATACGGTATGCAACACCAAGACACAGAACACAGCACGGAACACAGAGTTAGCATGGGGACAAAGACTTGCATGTAGGCAAGCACACGGCATACGGGCGTCATGACCAGGTCACACTCACACTCAAACAGAAAGGAAAACACGGCAACAGATCAAAGACAGCGACCTTTCGCAGGAAATACAGACTTGAAGATTTCCCGGAGCATACTCACGCTACCATCTTTCCCCGAACATAACGCACCCTAAAAATGAATTACAAGCTATATTTCCGGCCAGATACAGCCAAAATGAGGGTGCGTTGTGTTCGGGGAAAGAGGGTAGTAGGACTTTTTGGACTGAGCTTTGGAAGCAAATGGGGTCAGATACATCCAGGTCAAGGTGGAATTCGGGTCAGATTCATCCAGGAAAGTACTAGTAGTAGTGTTATGTACCCGATTGAACTTCAGTTTGCAATGAATTCACTCCTTCCGATACACGCATGCAATTGCAGAGTAGACTCGAAGGAGGCAAATCCACACAAAACCGGAGGGAGAGATGCACAGCGGAAGCTCAAAATACACAGAGAATTGAAAAACGAATTTCAATTGTGCAATCCCCCGTCCTCCTCCAATCGATCCAGAATGCTTGTTCCAAGAATCACGACCGCATCTATAACAACCCTGAACAACCAAAAACCTGTGTTTTTGACGAACAAAGTATGCAGGACTCTCCTTTTCCCTCCTCACCACCTCATACCCCTCCCTGGCTATGGCTGCCGTAGCGGCAGTACCCCCCCCCATAGCTGTCACAACGTGCCAATCTGAACCAGCAACCCCAATGATAGCAGCGCCAGCTCAGCGCCGGCAGGAGAGTGCAGCGCTGGAAGCCCTGATGAAGAAGGGAGAGTCGATCCAGCACTTGGAAGAAGATGAAGTTCCTCGCGAGGAGGAACAGCAGATATGGCTGCCAAGTGGAAATGTCAGCGCCCAAACCCAACAACACAGCCCGGTGGAAGCTCTCATGCAGAGCTGCGAAGTAGCAGCAGTGCGATCTTCAACTTCGTTTCACAACCCTGGCTATGGCTGGGCTTCGAGGAAGAAGATGACCTCGCCCGAAATAGCGCAGCAGCGCTCCAGCAACAGACGGGCAGAGTTTCCCTAGCAAAACGAGATGCAAATGACCCCAACTCTATTTTTTTCCCCTCCCGCTACTTCTAGACTCACGGACTGGACCTACGAGGGATTCCTCAGGCAACAGCCCAAGACTCATCTGTATCTAGATGGGAATTGGGGAAAGGGGACCTAGACCTAGGACAAGGCAAAAGAAAATGCCGAATGGCCTATAAGACTACCTGACAGAGACCACTGGTGACAGACTCAGGGATCGAGCCGAATCGGGCTCAAACTAGCAAACAAAACATACGAATTGCAGGTTACGGAATCAAGTCCCACCACACGATCAAAACAAGAAAACAACACAGACAAGGAACACAGCAGCAGACATACAGCACACCGGAGGTCTCGTGATCAAGTCCCGACAACCGCGAAACAGGAAATTACTAATTAGTGTACGACTCGCAGAGAGGCACTGCAACTCATTGCAGTAGTGTGAGAGTATGCCCTCAGTCAGAAACTGTGCAGGTTATTGCAGATCGCTAAAATTATTCACTTTTTCACTGTTGCCCTTCTCTTGCCGTGTTTTCGTTCTGCAGCCCCTTCTTGTTTCACTCCTCTCTTTTGCTGTTCTTCTTCAGCTCAAGATGGAGGGGACAGCAAGCTTGGAGGTCACGCCGAAGCCGGTTATCCCCCCTTGTAATGGAACTCGTATCCAGCGAGCAATGTTCCCCTCCACTTTTGTGTTTGGAATGGCGACAGCAGCATACCAGGTGGAGGGAGCCTTTGACGAGGACGGACGGGGTCTCAGTATCTGGGATGTTTTTGCACGCATGCCGGGCAAAGTGAAGAATGGAGACAATGGCGATGTGGCATGCGACCAATATCACCGTTATGAGGAGGATGTAGCCCTCATGGCAGACATGGGGATCAATGCCTATCGTTTCTCTATATCTTGGCCGCGTATCTTTCCTCTGGGATCAGGTGCCGAGCCCAATCCGGAAGGAATTGCGTACTACAATCGTCTGATCGATGCACTGCTCAAGGTTGGCATCGAACCTTGGGTCACTCTCTATCACTGGGATTTGCCGCAGAAGCTGCACGAATCGTACGGTGGCTGGCTTGGCGAGCAATCTGTTCGTGACTTTCAGGCGTATGCGGAAACATGTTTCCGAGCCTTTGGTGACCGCGTTAAACATTGGATCACGTTCAACGAACCTCTGGCGTTCGTGTTCTTGGGCTATGGAATCGGCATCCATGCCCCAGGTCTTCCCCATTGTGGCGATATTCGACCTCCTCCTCCTCCTCCTCCTCCTCCTCCTTCTTCCCCTCATCTGTCCTCCTCTTCTCCCGAAACGGACACAGGTATCCCCGATGCTTACATCGTTGGCCACAATGTCCTCCGAGCACATGCTGCGGCTGTCGACACTTATCGCCGATCCTATCAGCCTCATCAGGGAGGGAAAATTGGCATAACCTTGGACCATTCGTGGTGTATTCCAGTGTCGGACACTGCCGCTGACAAGGAAGCAGCCGAAAGGCGTCAGCTATTCGGGTTGGGCTGGTTCCTTGAACCTGTTATGAGGGGTAATTATCCGGAAGTCATGCGGAAGCGCATGGGCTGCAAGTTGCCTTCATTCACGGCTGAGGAAAGTGCATTGCTGAGGGGGTCTATTGACTTTCTAGGGGTAAATTTCTACACCTCGGCGTACGTGGCCGATTGCCCTTCGTCTAAGTTGAGTCCTCCTACCTTCTCTGTGGACGCTGCAGCCGGTGTGACAACTTCGCAGTTCAGGGATGGGCAACCCATAGGGGAACGTGCTGCCTCTTCATGGCTGTACATAACCCCTGAGGGAATTGGCAATCTCTTGCTGTGGATCACGAAGACGTATGATCCTCCCGCCATTTATATAACCGAGAATGGCATGGACGAGGACGACAATCCTGAGCTCCCGCTGCAGGAGAGGCTGCGCGACCCAAAGAGGGTGCAGTTCTATAATGACTACTTGTTAAGTGTGTCCAGTGCAATGAGCAAGGGAGCTCCTGTGCAGGGGTACTTTGCGTGGTCCTTATTGGATAACTTTGAGTGGGCTGAGGGGTACACCAAGAGATTTGGGGTTCACTACGTCGACTTCAAGAATGGTCAGGCCCGTTACCGTAAGTCGTCAGCTTACTGGTGGGCGGACTTCCTCAAAGACGATCAGCAGAAAGAATAGGGATATCTTTATGCCGAGGAAAATGGCAGGGTACCAGAGGCACCACGGGGCCTAGGTCAGTTGGTACTACACCCCTGAACTGTTGAAATACATACCCAAGTTCGAATCCAGATGGATAAGATAAAAATGATTCTGAATTAACCGAGGAGGCTGGGTGGGACCAATCAGTTCGACGATGATATCTCCAGGGTGTTGCCCTTTCGGAAAAAAAAGGCGGGGTATCGGAGGCCTAGCGCAGTTGGTACACCCATGACCTGTTGAAATGCAGACCTGAGTTCGAATCTGAATGTAGATAAAATAATTGTGAATTACCCAGGGCCGATCAGTTCGACAACGATACCTCGAGGCCATCCCCCTTCTTATGCAACGAAGAAAAAAGAAGGAGAAGAAAGGAAAAAGGGAAAGGGGCAGGGTCTTGAAGTGAGACGGTGAAAGAGCATGTAATAACCCGTCGAATTGCAGATGGTGATTTCTGTGGTTTTCTGAGTTTTTGCAGTCGTTCTGTGTCTGCCGGGATTCCTTTTTGTGAGTCTGTTCCTGGTCTATGGTGGCTGCTGATATTTGTGTTCCATGTGTTGGTCTGTCTGTCTGAGTACTTAGGGGGCTATGTGTGTGACCGGGTATGAAGGCCTGTGTGTTGGTGTGGGCCCCTCAGACCTGGTACTAACCTATATTACCATGTTAATGGCCTTTGCAGGGGTAGGTAGGCCCAAAAAGGCCTTTGTAGTGGGCACAGGGCTATGAGTCTACAGTAGGCCAGGGGTAGGTAGGCCCAAAAGGGCCCAAAATCAAGTAGTACTGGGTAGGTAGGCAGAAAAAGACAAAAAGTCGGACTTTTGGTAGGCCAAGGTGTTTCCTTGAGGTCCGGTAGGCCTAGAGCAGAAGTCCGGAATGTACGGCTTTTAATGTGGTCCGGTAAAGCGTCTAGGTTCAGGTCCTGTAGGTAGGATATTAATCTGCAATGAGTTAAGGGCAGGAACCGCAAGGGCTGGAGGCTGGGTAGGCTGGAAGTCGCCGGACAAAAAGGGCGGAGCCAAATTACATCTTTGGGAGTAGTGACTTGCTTCATCTCTTTTCCTTGCTTGCAGGTAGCGATGCTGCTGGCTTGGGAGCTTGGAGTGCCAAGCGGCAGTGTTGCAAGAGAGCCGCCACTCACCCTCGCTATGGTGTCTGGGCCAGGGCGAGGTAGGAGAAGGGCAAGGCAGCCTGGTGGCAGGCAGTAGAGGCGTCCAGCAGGATATGGAGGTGGAGTAGGGGGAGGAAGAAGAAGGAAGAAGAAGGAGAAGGAAGAGAGTGAAGGAGAAAACTTTTCTTGGCTATGGTGGACTGCAGCTTCATTGCCTCGGTTGGTGCTGCTGCACCTAGAGGGCCCCTGGAGCGGGTACCCGTGGGTGGAGGACTTCATATCGGAGAGTACGCTTGGCGGAAGTAGTGGGAGGAGGCATGGGAGCTTGCATAGGAGCTAGGCTTGGATTAGCCGCCATAGCCGGATGCCATATCAACCAGGGAAGGAGCTGCAGGAGCCTTACTGAGGGAGGGCTGTGTACATGGCTGGCAATGAGAGGAATAATGGGAGATTTGATTCTTGCTAGTTCATTCATTTTTGTTGTTTATCGTCTGTAATAAGGTGGTGGAGATGATGATGGGGAGTTGCTGGAGGCGAGATGAGGGATGGATGACATTGGTTCTGACTTGCGCTCTTCTTGTTCTTGTTCTTGTTCTTCTTCTTCTTCTTCGTCTTCGTCTTCTTCTTCTTCATCTTCTTTCTCCTCTTCGTTTTCTTCCTCCTCTTCGTCTTCTTCTTCTTTGTTTTCTTCCTACTCTTCCTCTTCTTCGTTTTCGTCGTCTTCTTCGTTGTCTTCTTCGTTGTCTTCTTCCTCCTCTTCGTCTTCTTCCTCCTCTTTGTCTTCTTCCTCCTCTTCGTCGTCTTCGTTTTCGTCTTCTTCTTCTTCGTCATCTTCCTCCTCTTTGTCTTCTTCTTCTTCATCGTCTTCTTCCTCCTCTTCCTCCTCTTGCTCCTCTTCCTCCATCGATGGGCATGGTATAACGGTGTAAATAGCAAGGCTGCAGGCATCAGACATTGATTGACAACTTGATTTTTGGATATTCTCTCCTTTTATAGAAGAAAAGTAAGACTTGAAAGTTGAATCTGATGTTTTTTGGACTTCCATTTTCTTCTTGAGAAACAGAGAATGTCTTTGTAAATGTAAATCCTCAGGGGTGCATAGTACTGCATACCAAAACGATCTAGTAACCGATGAGATGTTATTCCATTTTTGGTCTTAATTCATCTTCTTCAGCCTTAATTTCAACATCTCATCCTTCGCAGTTTTGGTCTTAATTCATCTTCTTCGCGTTTTACTCTCATGGGATGTGCAGATCCAATTAGAGTTAAACGCGAAGGATGAGATGTTGATATTCCTTTCTCTCTCTACAGTATTCCAACCAGAAGCAGCTGCATCCAATAAAAACATCTGATAGGTTTTCTAAGTTTACTTCATCAACACAAAGAATACCTCTATCAGCTTTAGCCAACAAGCTGGGTTCAAAAGCTTTAATTCCTTTCGTTACGCGGCTGGAAAGAATGTTTTACTACAGTCTGTGAGTTTAGCTCTTGACTCAATTTTTTATTAGTATGGAGAATTATTGTATCAAGATTTGAATATTCAAGAATGCTTCGGCTCAATTCGACCACCTATGGGTTGGGCAGATGCGACCTCTTTCTTCAGGTCACGCGAGCATGGGGTCTAATAGTAGTGGTTGGTACACAGACAGATAGGGGATCGTGATTAGCCAATTAACACTCCCCACAGCTTTTTGGGATTTCATTCTTTTAGCTTGTGTTCTATTTTCTTTTCTATTTTTTGGTTAAAAGAATAGCTCTTATATTTGTAGGACTGGAAAACGGGTCCTCTCTCTCTCTCTCTCTCTCTCTCTCTCTCTCTCTCTCTCTCTCTCTCTCTCTCTCTCTCTCTCTCTCTCTCTCTCTCTC